GCAGCGGCGCCTGTAAGACGCCTCGCAGAGGCGCCTGTACGACGCCTCGCAGACGCCTCGCAATAGCAGGCTTGTCATTTAGGTTGGTTGGATTTCGTACTAAAGTCGTTGGGATTAGTACCAACGTGGTTGGAGTTTGCTCTAGCTGGTTGTACTTTGTCCCATTGCCGTGCAACAGCCAGGTGGCTCCCCCCTGTGTTCCTGAAACAAGCGCCTCGCTCGAGACGTCCTCATGCTCTCCTTTGAAAGCAGAGGAGTCCTAGCCACGGAACGAGCAAATTGCCTGAGGCATTCCCACAATTTGGCCGCGAACGTGTGAGTGTAACATCCCCTAGCAGCCCGCCCTTTGGTTGAGTGAATCGAGGTGCAGGTGAGTCTCAATATGAGTGAACAAGTGGTAAGTGAGTCAGAGTATGAGTGAGTCTAGTTCTGCGTCCGCGTGGAGTTTGTAAGCATGAATGAACTCAATTAAAGTGAGCTTGAGTATGCGCGATTATGAGAGTGAGTGGGCCTGTGAGGGTACATGAGTGTGAGTGGTCTGCGTATGAGTGGATCTGGGTGTCAGTGAATCTTAGTGTGGATGAGTCTGAGCGAGAGTGAGTCTGAGTCTGTGAGTAAGTCTGACTCTGAGTGAGTTTGAGCTTGAGTAAGTCTGAGTGTGTGTCTGAGTGTGACTGAGTCTGAGTGTCAGCGAATCTGAGTGTGAGAAAGTTTCATAATAGGCGAGAGGGAAGGAGGCAGGAACGAGGAATGAGGATGGAGGGAGGAGGAGTCATCACACTAATTCGAGCGCGCCATACTTAGGATATGGGATCTGTAGACATTGGAATGTGTATGCACGTTGGTGATCTGTGCCGTACGTTCATTACGCGCAGGCCACCTTCGACGACTTCCTTGAGTGTTCTGGTGCGGCTACCTCGTCTGGTGAGCGGGAAGTGCACGTGAATTATTGTGACAAGGGGTTGCTTTTTTGGGGAATGCGAGGCTTCAGGGCACGAGCAGACAGGAGGAGGAGGACGAGGAGGAGGAGGAGGAGAATGTGGAGATTGAGGAATATCCGGTGGAGATGGAGGAGAACAAGGATGATGAGGAGGATGAGGAGGAGGAGGAGGAGGAGCAGGAGGAGGAGGATGAGGAGGAGAAGTGGGAGGAGGAGAGGGAGGATCAGGAGCAGACTCCACAACCATGTTCTTTCGTATCATACCTACCATCGTCCTTACCCAGTGTGGATTGGCTGGAGTCGTGCGCATTGTTACCAGGGTGCTCGAAGCACTGATCCGTTTAGTGTAATTACCTGTTCGTGACAGGCATTCAGGGGCGTTAATCCAGGGTGATTATACACTCAGGCAGCCGAGCAGAAAGGGCAGGATGAGATGAGAAGGGGGAGGAGGATGAGGAGGAGGAGGAGGAGGAGGAGGCAGAGGCCCCACAGGCGGCTGGAGGCCTTCCACGGGCAGCGCCTTGAGGAAGTCGGGACCCCCAAAGAGAACCGACGCTCTAAAGAGAAAGTGGAGCGGCGGGATTTGGGCAGTCTTCGGCGTCTGGGGACCCTCGCCAGGCCTCGGGAACGGCAAGAAACGGCTCGGGACGAAAAACCGACCCCAGGGAAATGGTCCGGACCTCTGAGGTTCACGCATCGGAAAAATTGGAGCGGCCAGGTGTGTGGGACCGGAAGTCTTTGGCGTTATCAGTTTTGCTTTTTGTCTTCAGCACACAGAAAATACGTTCGGCCGTTCTGGGCCTTTGGGGCCCCCCACAGGGCCGCTGGGCCGTCAAAGAAAAGCACAGGATGAAGAGCCAGTATTCGGGAGAGTGTCGGGGCTTGCGGTGGCCCCGCCTTGCAAAACTCAGTACATCGCATGTCTGTGTAGGCACCCGCATGTAAACCCAGATCTCCGACGGTGTGATTTTTGTTGATGCCGGCGTTTTCCTCGAGGTCGGCCTCTGGGGATCGTCATCGGGCCCCAGGACCCTCAGAAATGGATCCGGGACGATGGATGACCCCAGGGAAGGAGTCGGGAGCTCCAGGAGGTCCTGGCGTCTGCAGCTCTTCGAGCCGGGCATTTTGGCCCCGTTTCGGGTCCAGGGGCCCTCACAAATCGAGGCGGCTCGACGGATGGCGCACGGAGAAGAGAAGAGGTCTGGGGCTCTGGTCGGTGTTGCAAGTTTTCCGCAATGTCGGATCTCAAGGCCCCTATAGAGACCTCCCAGATGGGGTCCAAGTAGATGAGGTCGGAGGATCGCGCCAGATCGCCGATGCATCGGCGATGCATGGGCGACGCACTGGCGACACATCGCCGACATCGGCGACGCATCGGCGACGTCGGCGCGGAGAAACATGAGCTCCACATCGAGCCGCATCGGCGATGCATCGGCGATGCGGCGCGATCCTCCGACCTCATCTACTCAGACCCCATCTAGGAGGCCTAGGCGGATTTTTGACGACAACTATCAAAACATAGTCAAAACATGTTCAGCAATAGTGAAACACAAACAATCGAAAAATCGTCCTCAGTCTATTTTTTGACTATGTTTGAATGTTCTTCCTGTAGAGGGACGTACCCGACTTGAGTCTTGGAGGCCTGGAACCTACCCTGCACGGTTTCACCTGGGGCTGTAGGCGACCCGAGGAGAATGAGGAGGAGGAGGAGGAGGAGGAGGAGGAGGAGGAGGAGGAGGAGGAGGAGGAGGAGGAGGATGAGGCGGAGGAGGAGGAGGAGGAGGAGGAGGAGGAGGAGAGGGAGGAGGAGGAGGAGGAGGAGGAGGAGGAGGAGGAGGAGGAGGAGGGGTCGCCTGAGCCCTTCGGAGAAACCCTCCACCCTACCCTTGCATGTAAGGCGTCTGAAGGCCCGGCCGGGGCTCAGACCTCCGAGGAGGTCTGCGGCCGAGCGAGCCCCAGCGGGGGTGTCCGAGACGCCAGCGGCGTCGACGGTGCCCCGGCGGGGCCCGCGGGCCCCGAGGCGGTCTTCCCCTCCAGCGCCAAGAGGCGGCCCTGCGGCGGGACCCAGAGATCCGACGCTCCCAAAAATTGGGGCGGCGGGATTTGGGCTATTTTCGCCGGGCCTCGGGAGCCGCCAAGAAGGACTCGGGTCGAAAAACCGGCCCTAGGGAAGTGGCCCAGACCTCTGGGTCCCGCGCTCCAAAAAAAATGGAGCGGCCAGATGTCTGGGGAGGCTCCGGGGCGCTGGTCGGGCCGCCAGCGCATTGGCAAAAGCAGGGCGGAGGCTCCGCGTCGGTTTCGGCAGGGCTGGAGCTAAAAACGGTTTGTGTTCGCTTCCGTCTTGTGTTTTCGCTTTCCTTCGTGCTGTCTTCGTTCGGTCCTCGCTCTGCCTCTGCTGCGAAGCGAAAGCAAAACGAAAACGGCCCACGAAGCCGCCAAGACACCGTTTGGCTGGAGCCCTGGTTTTCGGGTCTCTGGCGGCCCTCGCTGGGCCCTAGGGCCGTCAACACAAAAAAATCGGAGCTCGGGATGAGAAGCCGGCAGTGGTAGACGTCGGGCTCACAGGGATACACTGCGCTGGCTCTCGTGGATGTGTTGGTGGTGCGTGGGGCGACGGCGTCCAGGGTGGCTCGGTCAGTTTGAGTGGGCGTTTTCGTACGGGGTTCGAGAAGCGAATGGGGACTCTGGGAGGCCCTGCAGAGGAAATCAAGACGTCGGATCTTGGTCATGGTCCCCGATCACCCCCCACCCCGCCTCCCATGCCGCCCACGCCCCAAGAGAGGGCGGGCCTTCTCAGAAGGCCAGTGGCCCCATCCGCGTCGAGTCACGACAGCCAACGAGGAGGCCACGACGCGCGAAATGCGTGCCGACAGTTCTGGAAATTGAGATGTTGAAGAAGCAGGGCCAGTGACACTCGCCAGGTTGGCAGCGCGGGCCACCGCAACTCTTCTTCGGACCACGGGGCGGGCCGACCAACAAAAAATGAGCCAGGCAAGGAACGGAAACACGATAACACCAAAGACTTCCAGCCCCAGACATCCGGCCGCTCCAACTTTTTCGATGCGTGGGCCCTAGAGGTCTGGACCACTTCCCCAGGGCCGGTTTTTCGCCCCGAGCTTTAAGTCGGGCCTGTCCCTCTACAGGGGGAATATTCAAGAACAGTCAAAACATACTCTGTGGACGACTTTTAAGTTAATCATGGACTTGATTTGGGGGCATTTTTTTTGTTTCTTTTTTGTTTTTTGTTTTTGTTTTTTTAATTTCTCGTCTAAAATCCGCCTGCAGGAGGACATGCCCTATCTGACCCGAGCCGTTTTGTTGACGCTCCCGAAGCCCAGCGAGGAGGGCCCCACGATTCCTCCTCCTCCTCCTCTTCCTCCTCCTCCTCCCCCTCCATCTCCCTCCTCCTCCTCCTCCTCCTCCTCCTCCTCCTCCATTTCCCTCCTCCTCCTCCTCCTCCTCCTCCTCCTCCTCCTCCTCTTCCACTTCCTTTGGAGCGTCGGCTCTCTCGGGGGTCCTGACTTCCCCGAGACGCTGCCTGTGAAAAGGCCTCCGGCCGCCCGCGGGGGTCCTTTGGCACGTCCGGGGCTGCCCGTGGGGGGCCTCCGGCCGCCGCGCTCCCCGGCCGCCGCGCTCCCCGCCCCTCGACCACTTGTGGACGCAGGAGTGGCCTCTCGGTGCGGGCCGGGTGGGGTCCGTCGGCCGCGGAGCGCGGAGCGGTGGCCGCGGCTTGCGCGCCCGGGCTTGACGACGATGTTGACGACGACGTTGACGACGAGGAGGATGATGGTGATGATGGTGGTGATGATGATGATGATGATGATGATGATGATGATGATGATGATGATGATGATGATGATGATGATGATACGACGACGTTGACGACGACGAGGATGATGGTGATGATGGTGATGATGGTGATGATGATGATGATGATGATGATGATGATGGTGGTGGTGGTGCTGGTGCTGGTGGTGGTAGTGGTGGTGATGGTGATGATGGTGATGATGATGGTGGTGATGATGGCGATGATGATGATGGTGGTGGTGATGATGATGATGGTGGTGGTGGTGGTGGTGGTGATGATGCTGATGCTGATTCTGATGATGATGATGATGATGGTGGTGGTGGTGGTGGTGATAATGATGATGATAATGCTGCTGCTGCTGCTGCTGCCGCGCACCAAACGTCAGTCTTGCCTGGGGTCACCTCGTGCGTGCCGCCGAACCTCGGCGCCGGCCGCGGCCGGGCAGAGGCCCCCCGACGCTGCGGCTGCAGCTCTGCGAGGAGGGGCGGCTGCCCGACGAGGCGGGGGGCCGCGCGCCCGTGCTCAGTCGGACTTGATTCGGAGGCGGCCAGGAGGGGGTGATGGCTAGGGGGGGGGTGGATGTCATGGCGTGGGTCATGATATTCCCATAGATATCGTGGCGCCTCTTCTCATTTTGTTGCGTCCCTGGCCCCCCCCCCCCCGGGCCGCGCGCCCGTGCTCCAGGCCGCCCAGGTGGGGTCGGAATGCAGTCGGATTTGATTGGAGAGGACACGCGAGAGGACTCGAATAAGCAGAAGAAGAAGAAGAAGAAGAAGAAGAAGAAGAAAGGCCATCAGTCCGAGGCGGGAATTCATACATGACCACCGCCTGGAGTATCAAGTTTCGGGGACCTCGGCGGGCGGTGGATACGGATAGATTTGGGCCCCCGGGGGCCAATCTATATCCATGTCCACCAGGACGATCCTGATGGTCCTCAGGGCGTGTGTTAGCCCAATGTGTGCTTACCCCGTTCAGTCACGCCCGCAGATCATTACATCGCCGGCGTCGTATGGAAGGGCCTCGGTGGATGAGCACACGTTCGCGCTAGCACACGTTGGGAGGATCATCGAGAGGACACGCGAGAGGACTCGAAGAAGAAGAAACACCATAAACTGCGTTCCGCGCAGATCTCTTGGATCCGCGCTTTGGCTCCCTCGGCGGCGCGCGCCCCGCGCGCCAGGGATGGGGGTCGAGCGCGGATTCATGAAGTCCGCGCGGAGCGCCACAAGTTTATGTTTATGACGTTCCTTCTTCTTCAGAGAGGACGCAAGACCCTTCCGAGGCCACATCGCCACGAAAATGGAAGGAGGCAAGGGTCGCGAGGCACAGGGCACACAGGATACCCGTGAGCTGGCAGGGTCGACCTACTGAGGAGGGCCGACTGCACATGGAGTCGGAGGATCGCGCCGCACCGCCGATGCATCGCAGATGCACTGCCGATGCCGCTGGATGTGGAGCCAGATTGTTTTTCCACGCCGACGCCACCGATGGGCCAAAACAGCAGTGGGCCCCTTGCGTGTATTATCTTCTACCAACGCATTCGCTCTGAGTTTTTCTAGTTCCCATCCCCGTGTTCCTCCTCCTCCTTCGTCCTCCTGCCCCCCCCCTCCGCAGAGTGATTCCATAATTTTTTTGTCTGCCAGTGCGCCGTATCAGCGCACGGCTTGACGCCGTCGGTGCACCGCCGACGCCGCCGATGCATCGGCGATGAGGCGCGATCCTCCGACCCCATCTACGCGGACCCCATCTGGACCTCTGTGTGCCGTGCTGGCCTCCGCCAGCCTCCCTCCTGGAGGCCCTCCCAGACATGCTCGCGTCTTGAGAAGAGCAGGACGGGAGGCTTGTGGCCGTCTTGTGCCTCTCGGGGCCCTCACCGTGCCGTGGGGCCGTGAAAGAACGGCTGAGGATGAAAAACCGGTCTCGGGGAAAGGGTGGGGACTTCCGGGGACCCCGTACAGAAGAGCTCGAGACATCGCATGTGTGGGCCAGGAGGACGACAACTGCGACACCTGTCCTTCTCTCGGGGGCGGTTAAGAGGGGGGGCGATGACCAGGAGGGGTGTGTGTAATGGCCAGGGGGCCGAGGTATCGATGCAGGTGCCCTTGCCTCGTCTTCGCCTGTGTGGGCCTCCGGGAGGGCCCTCGTCGCCACGGCTGGACTCGCCCCGAGATCCTGGTCAGGACGCGCCGTGGGAGAGGTCCGTGGAATATCAGGAGAGGAAAAAAACACAGACACAATTAATCCTCGATTCCCCAGGAAATATGGGAAAATATGGGAAGTGGGGGGGAAGACAGAAACCCAGAAAATGGGAAAATATGGGGAATCTTTTCATTTGTGTGTATTTATTTGTGTGTCCTGGGGCCCCTTCAGAGTAGCGGTGTTGGTACCTTCTGGTTTCCCTGATGATCTCTCCTCCGGGTTTCAAGACGCCTCGTCTCACTTCAATGCGTCCGCTGGCCCCCTCCCCCTGGGACGCGCACATGCCTCGGGCCATGATATGCGGAAGCCCCTCTTGGACGCCCTGGATTATCGTCACGACCGACTTGGGCACGGAAAGAGTGGGGACGAAGACTGACAGCAGTTCCTGCCCAATTTTTGAGAAGGATTCGCTGTCGGTGCCGTCGCGGGTTTTGTCTATTTGAGACCGAAGGCCGCCTGCACAACAGCGGCCGCTGCCAGTTTTGGGCAACATTTGTTGTTGGGCATTGTCCCCATTTTTCCGTGCTCAGTGGGGTCCAACTTCTACATCGTAAGCCATCGACGTTTCCGCTCGTCTTGGAGTACATGTCTATCGGCGAACAGCGATCGATAGCGCTCATCAGCGCTCAATAGCGCCTAGTGGGGCCGAACAGCGTTCAGATAACGCCCAACGGCGACCAACAGCGCCCAACAGCGCCATGTGAGGGTTGCTTTCCGCCTATCCTGAGATCCTGGCGTTGCTTTTTTTCACGCTGAGCGTCTCCGCCCGGCTTCGGGCCCCGGGTCCGGCACTGGTCGATCGGGCTGGCGAGCTCCCGCAGAACGATGGTGTGCAGGGTTCCGCACGTGATTTGTTTGTGAGGAGGAGGAGGTTCTACCCCTCCCTCCCATCCCTTACCATGGCGAAGATCTCTTCTCTATTCGCACAATCGGACGTCGTAGCATTGCATAGCATTACATGGCATAGCATGGTGTTGAAGATCAACGCGTAGCATGACATAGCACGGCGTGGCGACGGCCAAAGTGGGGGCGGGGGCTTCTGCGACCCAAGAAATCAACGAATCGACATCGAATGTGTAATCACTTCTGATGGTTTCTTCGGGAGGCTTTTCTAGGTTTCGGGGCTTATTTGGAAGGACCGAAAACCATGCCGTGGCATGGCGCTGGAAATAATGACGCCAGCGCTGCAGCGGGAGCACGATTCGAAACGAGCGGAAGCGCGGAAATGAGGCCAGCGCTGCAGCGGGAACACGATTCGGAACGAGCGGTGGCCCAAAAATTAAGCCAGCGCCTCAGCGAGAGCAGCATTTTGAACAAAAAACAAGCGAACACCCAATTCCCGGGAATGGGGGGCCTGCCATTTCCCAGACGTCACCAGGGGAGAGAGGAGAGAAGTATTCATATTGTGTAATTGTGGAGGAGAAGGAGCAGGGGCTTGCGGCTATGCACCTGCACCCATCCTGGCGTGGCGTATATCCCGGGCCCATCGTCGCAGTGCTCTTGTCGATCTCTCCACGATGCGATCAGCTTTGATTTCGCTGGGTGCCGCTTCCGCTTCGATTCCACTTCGGATTCCGATTTGGACTCCGATTTGGATTTCGGTTTCACAATGGATTCCGATTTGGATTCGACTTCGGACTCCGATATGGATCCCAATTTCTCGGTGGAGCTCGTCCTCGTCGTTTTCCTGGTCCTCGTCGTCGTCGTCGTCGTCGTTCTCGTCGTCGTCGTCGTCCTCATCGTTGTCCTCGTCCTCGTCCTCGTCGTCGTCCTCGTCGTCGTCGTGGTTGTCGTCGTCGTCGTCGTCGTCGTCGTCGTCGTCGTCGTCACCGTCGACGTCGTCGTCCTCGTCCTTGTCCTCGTCGTCGTCCTCGTCGTCGTCCTCGTCCTCGTCGTCGTCGTCCTCGTTGTCGTCGTCCTCGTCGTCCTCATCGTCGTCGTCGTCGTCCTCGTCGTCGTCGTCGTCGTCGTCGTCCCCATCGTCGTCGTCGTCCTCGTCGTCGTCGTTGTTGTCGTCGTCGTCGCCCTCGTCCTCGTTGTCCTCGTCGTCATGGTCGTCGTCGTCGTCGTCCTCGTTGTCATGTTCGTCGTCCTCATCGTCGTCCTCGTCCTCGTCGTCGTCGTCGTCCTCGGCGTTCTCGTCGTCGTCGTCCTCCTCGTCATCGTCGTCGTCGTCCTCGTCGTCGTCGTCGTCGTCGTCCTCGTCGTCCTCGTCGTCCTCGTCGTCGTCCTCGTCGTCCTTGTCGTCATGGGCCTCGTCCTCGTTGTCGTCGTCGTCGTCCTCGTCGTTATGTCTGTCGTCCTTGTCGTCGTTGTCGTTTTCCTCGTCGTCGTCGTCGTCCTCGTCGTCGTCCTCCTCGTTCTCGTCGTCGTCGTCGTCCTCATCGTCGTCCTCGTCCTCGTCGTTGTCCTCGTTCTCGTCGTCGTCCACGTCGTCGTCCTCGTCGTCGTCCTCGTCGTCGTCGTGGTCGTCGTCGTCACTGTCGGCGTCTTCCTCGAAGTCGTCGTCGTCTTCGTCGTCGTCCTCCTCGTCCTCGTCGTCGTCGTCCTCGTTGTCGTCGTCCTCGTTGTCCTCGTCGTCGTCGTCGTCGTCGTCGTCGTCGTCCTCGTCGTCGTCGTCGTCCTCGTCCTCGTCGTTTTTGTCGTCCTCGTCGTCGTCCAGGTTCTCGTCGTCGTCGTCCTCGTTCTCGTCGTCGCCCTCGTCCTCGTCCTCGTCGTCGTCCTCGTTCTCGTCGTCGTCCTCGTCGTCGTCGTCCTCGTCCTCGTTCCCGACCTCGTCGTCGTCATCGTCGTCCTCGTCGTCGTCCTCGTCGTCCTCGTCGTCCTCGTCGTGGTCGTCCTCGTCAAAGTCGTCCTTGTCGTCGTCGTCGTCCTTGCTGTCGTCGTCCTCGTCGTCGTCCTCGTCGTCGTTGTCGTCGTTGTCGTCGTCGTCGTCGTCCTCGTCGTCGTCGTCCTCATCGTCGTCTTCGTCCTCGTCCTCGTCGGTTTTCTCGTCCTCGTCGTCGTCCTCGCCGTCGTCGTTCTCGTTGTCGTCGTCCTCGTCGTCGTCGTCGTCCTCGTCGTCGTCCACGTCGTTGTCGTCGTCCTCATCGTCGTCGTCCTCGTCCTCGTCGTCGTCGTCGTCGTCGTTGTCGTCCTCGTCGTCGTCGTCGTCGTCGTCGTCGTCGTCGTCGTCCTCGTCCTCGTCCTCGTCCTCGTCGTTTTCATCCTCCTCGTCGTCGTCCTCGTCGTCCTCGTCGTCGTCCTTGCCATCGTCGTCGTCCTCGTCGTCGTCGTCCTCATCGTCCTCGTCGTGGTCGTCGTCGTCCTCGTCGTCATGGTCGTCGTCCTCGATGTCGTCGTCGTCGTCGTCCTCGTCGTCATGTTCGTCGTCGTCGTCGTCGTCCTCGTCGTCCTCGTCCTCGTTCTCGTCGTTTTCCTCGTCGTCGTCGTCGTCCTCGTTCTCGTCGTCGTCGTCGTCGTTGTCCTCATCGTCGTCCTCGTCCTTGTCCTCGTCGTCGTCCTCGGCGTTCTCGTCGTCGTCCTCGTCGCCGTCGTCGTCGTCGTGGTCGTCGTCGTCATCGTCGTCGTCGTCCTCATCGTCGTCGTCGTTGTCGTCGTCGTCGTCCTCGTCGTCGTCCTTCTCGTCCTCGTCGTCGTCGTCGTCGTCCTCGTTCTCGTGTGGTCGTCGTCGTCGTCGTGGTCGTCGTCGTCGTCGTGGTCGTCGTCGTCATCGTCGTCGTCGTCCTCGATGTCGTCGTCGTCGTCGTCCTCGTCGTCGTCCTCCTCGTCCTCGTCGTCGTCGTCGTCCTCGTTGTTGTCGGCCTCGTCGTCCTCGTCGTCCTCGTCGTGGTCCTCGTCGTCCTCGTCGTCGTCCTCGTCGTCGTCGTCCTCGTCGTCGTCGTCGTTCACGTCGTCTTCGTCGTCGTCGTCGTCGTCGTCGTCGTCGTCCTCGTCGTCGTTTTCCTCTCCCTCGTCGTCGTCCAGGTTCTCGTCGTCGTCGTCGTCCTCGTCGTCGTCCACGTCGTCATTGTCTCCTCGTTCTCGTCGTCGTCCTCGTCGTCGTCGTCCTCGTCCTCGTCCCCGACCTCGTCGTCGTCGTCGTCCTCGTCGTCGTCGTCGTCGTCGTCGTCCTCGTTGCAGTTGTCCTTGTTGTCGTCGTCCTCGTCGTCGTCCTCGTCGTCGTTGTCGTCGTTGTCGTCGTTGTCGTCGTTGTCGTCGTCGTCGTCGTCCTCGTCCTCATCGTCATCGTCGTCCTCGTCCTCGTCGTTTTCCTCGTCCTCGCCGTCGTCCTCGTCGTCGTCGTCCTCGTTGTCGTCGTCCTTGTCGTCGTCGTCGTCGTCGTCGTCGTCGTCCTCGTCGTCCACGTGGTCGTCGTTCTCGACGTCGTCGTCGTCGTCCTCGTCGTCGTCGTCCTCGTCCTCGTCCTCGTCGTCGTCGATGTCGTCCTCGTCGCCGTCGTCGTCGTCCTCGTCGTCGTCGTCGTCGTCGTCCTCGTCGTCGTCGTCGTCGTCGTCGTCGTCCTCGTCCTCGTCGTCGTCGATGTTGTCCTCGTCGTCGTCGTCCTCGTCGTCGTCGTCGTCGTCCTAGTCGTCGTCGTCGTCGTCGTCGTCCTCGTCCTCGTCCTCGTCGTCGTCGTTGTCGTCCTCGTCCTCGTCGTCGTCGTCGTCCTCGTCGTCGTCGTCCTCGTCGTCGAGCGCTCTGCCGGCAGGCGCCGCCCGCGCCGCCGCCGGCGGCGGCCCAGCCCGAGGGTGCGCGGGCGGCGGAGGGCCGCGCGGCCTGCAGCTCGTCGGCAGGCCGCGCGGCGCCCCCTTGGCGGCGGCGCCTCACGGCGGCATTCGGCGCCTCACGGCTTTTTTGTTGTTGATTTGATTTCGTTTTTTGTTCTGTCTTCCTTTGTTTGTTTTTGTGTCTGTGTTCGTTTGTTGGTTAGTTGTTTCTTTTTTGTTTTATTGTCTTGTTTTTTCCTCCATTCTGTATATATATATATATGCGTCGGGGGGGCGTCACCCCCGCGAGCCGACAGCCCCATATCGACCCCCGTCGCGGGCAGCCACCGCGCGCCGGAGGCGCCCCGACCCCCGTCGCGGCGCGACGACGAGGCGAGGTGGACCCCCGTCGGGGGGGTACCCCCCCGCGCTTATCAGGAAACCCAGAGTATGCATTACCAGTGGCGGGCTGAAAACCAGATTTTTTTAAGTGTCGGGGACGACGTCGGTGTGGTGTGGTGTGCACTTTTTCCCCCCGCTTTCTAAGGAAGCATCGTGTATATATATACACACACGAGGATCTCGTATACACCAGGATCCGCTGTCCTGGTTGCAAATTTCAACGCAGGGCCGCAAAAAGCGTCGGTGTGTAGAGTTCGGTTTCCCCATTTCTGGAGTCGCAATTTTGTCGAGCTGGGCGTTTCCGAACAGTTTCAGGCCCAGGGACCCTCGCAGATCGATCTGGCTCGAAGAAAGGACTCAGGAAGACGGGGTCTAGGACTCCGGGCCTGATTTTTTACGATGCTGCATTCTTTCCCCTACGTCGCATATCTGGGTCGTGGAAGATTCACGCCGGGCGATTTTTTTCGTTTGTGTTTTTTGCTGTTGCCACTGTCGGCCTCCGGGGTGGGCCCTTGCCGAGCCCCGGGGCCGTGGGCAGAGACGGCTCTGGGCGAGGAGCTGGTCCTGTGGAAGGGGCCCTGGAGATAAGGTGTTACTGCGGCCCGTTGGTTGTTACTGCGGCCCGGTGGGTGTTAGTATGGCCAGGGGTCCTCCGGAGTGTATTAATTATCGAGTACGGTGAAGGGGGGGGGGTCCAAAAAGGCTCCGCCCCCCCCCCTTCACCGAAGAGCCTCTCGGAAGAGCCTCTGGTGCTCTCCGAAGAGCCTCTTGGAGCCGCCGAAGACCTTCTTGCAGCCGCCTAAGAGCCTCTTGGGCTCTCCGAAGAGCCTCGTGGGGCCTCCGAAGAGTTTCTTGGGGCATCCGAAGCGCTTCTTGGGCTCTCCGAAGAGCCTCTTGGGCTCTTACTACGACTCTCTACTACTACTACTACTACTACTACTACTACTACTACTACTACTACTACTACTACTACTACTACTACTACTACTACTACTACTACTACTACTACTACTACTACTACTACTACTACTACTACTACTACTACTACTACTACTACTACTACTACTACTACTACTACTACTACTACTACTACTACTACTACTACTACTACTACTACTACTACTACTACTACTACTACTACTACTACTACTACTACTACTACTACTACTACTACTACTACTACTACTACTACTACTACTACTACTACTACTACTACTACTACTACTACTACTACTACTACTACTACTACTACTACTACTACTACTACTACTACTACTACTACTACTACTACTACTACTACTACTACTACTACTACTACTACTACTACTACTACTACTACTACTACTACTACTACTACTACTACTACTACTACTACTACTACTACTACTGCTACTGCTACTACTACTGCTACTACTACTACTACTACTACTACTACTACTACTACTACGACTACTACTACTACTACTACTACTACTACTACTACTACTACGACTACTACTACTTCTCGTCGTCCCTAGCGCCCTAGGGCTAGCACTCCCTAGCGCCAGTCTTTCTAGGGCTAGCACTCCCTAGCGACAGTACTTCCTGGCACTCCCTCGGACTAGCACTCCCTAGGAGTAGTATTCCCTAGGGCTGGTACTCCGTAGTGCGAGTACTCCCTAGGACGAGTACTCCCTTGGACGAGTACGCCCTAGGGTTAGTAATTCCTAGGTCTGGTACTCCCTGGGGCTAGCGCTCCCTGCGGCTAGTACTCCGTAGGTCTAGTACTCCCTATGGACGATATTACCTAACACCAACACTACAGCACCATAGTACTACCACACTACAGCACTACTACCACAATACCAGTACCACAACACCACAACACCGCTACCACAACACCACTACACCGCTACCACAATACCACAACCACAACACCGCTACCACAACACCACTACCACAGCACCACTGCCACTACCACAACACTACTACCTACTAGCAACCCAACAACACTACCAACACCACACCACTAACACAACACTACCAACACCACACCACTAACACAGCACACCACTACCAACACCACACCACTAACACAGCATACAGCACAACCAGCCACTACCAACACCACACCACTAACACAACATTACCAACACCACCACTAACACAGCACAGCGACCACCACACCACTAACACAGCACTACTACCACGTTGGTTCCAGGTAGGACTTACTGTGGCCACTTTTGCCTGCGCGGGAGTGTATTCCCTTAAGGGTTGCGAATCTCTCCAGATCCAACATGAGATACCTTTACATATTACTTTTCATTGAGCGTCCTGCGCGGGCCACAGTAACTCCCATCCCGCCGCGCGACGGGCCACACTAACACCCAACGGGCCGCACTAACACCCAACGGGCCACAGTAACAACCGGTCGCAGGGGCCCTGACCTCTGGGGCCTGGGGGGCCACGTCGTGGACAAGGTCACGACGTCGGAGTTCTGGGCTCGGCGGCCCTTCGGCTGCCTCCGGCTCAGAGGATGATTTCGTTGTGATGGGCCTCCCGGAAGGCCCTCGTCGCCACGGCTGGATTCGCATCGAAATTCTACTCTTGACGCCTCGCGTATCTCTACCAGCTCATCCCAAAACAGACACCAGGCGAGTTGCCCTGATCGGGGATATGTCGCAACATGCGGTTCGCTAGTGAACCGCGTCCGTCTTCGCAGATATGGGCGTCTTGGAGCGGGCTTTCCGCAACTCTCGGGGCCCTCTTGGACCGTCTTGGAAACCTCTTAGGGGGCCCTCTTGGCTAGTTTTGAGGTTTTGCTGGCTCTGGAAAAAAGTCACGCGGCAACGCAAGCCAGAAATTCCAGGAGTCACGCGCCACGCCCCGGCAGATCGTGGGATTTAGGGTCCAGACCCCTTGAACGAATTTGTTTGGGAAAGGGGACCGCGAATTTCAAGGGGCTCCTCCTCCTCCTCCTCCTCCTCCTCCTCCGTGGACCGTGGAGGCTAGGAGGTAGCTGAGGAGGATCTCTCTACTTAGGTTCGGGATTATCCTACAAAACCTTGGGTCCCATCCCAAAGTTTGCACGCTCTTTTTCTGGAGGTTAGGGGTGAACCTTAGAAACCTTATTGCAGCACTCACGGGCCACACTTGGGTCCCCGCAGGGGCTGACCCCTACGCTGCATTGCCTCGCCAGTGTGTCACGCGCGCGCCCAGCCCCAGAGTACTGGCAGTACAGCGGCAGTGCCGATCCTTAACTTCGGGAGGTGGGTGGTTCAGGAGGGGAATAAACACACAGACACAATTAATCGTCGATTTGCCAAACAATATGGGAAAATATGGGAAGTGGGGGGGAAGACAACAACCCAGAAAATACGGGGAAACATTTTTTTTTTGTTGTTTTTAAATTTGTGTGTATTTGTTTGCGTGTCCTGTGGTCCCTTCAGTGGTTGACACTCGTGCTCGGTGGCGGCGGGGAGGATCTCTCTACACCCAGGCTCGGGGCTCTCCCACAGAGCCCTGGGCCGCAGCCTAGATGTTGCACGCTTTTCTTTGGGAGGTCAGGGGTGAGCCATAGAGGTTAGGGGGTTAGGGGTAAACCATAGAGGAGGTTTCCTTTGGAGGTTTAAGGGTATACCATAGAGGGGGTTTTGGAGGTTAAGGGTAAGCCATAGAGGTTTCTTTTGGAGGTTAGGGGTGACCCATAGAAGCCCTGTTGCAGCAACCGCCTTGCACACTTGGACCCCCACAGGGGCGGACCCTTACGCTGTCTTCAGATGCGGGTGTGTAGAACGTTCGTTTTCTTTTCTGCCTTTGCAGGGTTCGCAGCATGTGCTGAATGAAACTTGACAGTCACTGTGTGCTATTTGTTTGCTTGCTTGGTACTTCTCCAATGAGGTACAAGCTGCGTTACCTGGTGGTTGCCTACTATGTTACCTACGCTTCTTCACTGTCTCTCTTTACCGCCTTAGCCGCGGCGCCCGCCAGGGACCTTTTGCGCCGAGTCATCTGCACTTCTATTTCTTCTTCGCAGCACTTCAAGAACGCAACACGCGTAAACGTAAGGTCTGGCCAGCTCAAAAATGTTGAGGGGGACGGGGCGACGGCGACGACCTGGTCAAGGACAGTGACGACCGAGCCTGCGGCAGATGGCGCCAGGGTAGTTAACGACGACGACTCGCACGACGACGATGGCGCGCACGACGACGAAGCCGACGACGACGTCGACGACGCCGACGCGCACGACGTCGACGAAGATGACGCGCATGACGGCGACGACGCGCATGACGACGACGACCTTGACGCCCTTGACGACCTCGACGACGACGGCGACCTTGACGACGACGACCTTGACGACGACGACGGCGACGACGACGACGACAACGACGACGCGCCGCCAGCACAGGAGGCGCCTGGCCTCCGCCGGACGCGCCTACGTGCGAGCAGTTCGAGGCCCGCACATGCTCACCCGACGCCTTCAGTGGGGGCGCCTGTCTCGTCTACGGAGGCGACATTTGCGACGTCGTCGTCGTCGGCGGCGGCGGCGGCGTCGTTGTCGTCGGCGGTGGCGTCGTGCGTGTCGTGCGCGACGTGCGCGTCATCGTCGTGCTCCTTCCTGATGCTGCGGGTTCTTCTTGCTTGTCCTCCAGCTCCTCGTCCGCCTTTGGCGGTGCGGTGCGCCCCTCCCCTCGCTCGTCCGGCTCGTCCAGCTTGTCCATCCCTTCTCCTCCTTTGTCCCGTGTGCCCTCTCCCCGTCACTCCTCATCCTTTTTTCCTCTTCTCCTTTCCGCCTCGCCCTCTTTGTTCTCCTCCTCCTCCTCCTCCGACCCCCCCTCCTCCTCCTCGTCGTCGTCGTCGTCCTCCTCCATCCACCTCCTCCTCCTCCTCCTCGTCGTCCTCCTCCTTCTCCTCCATCCATCTCCTCCTCCCTCCTCCCTCCTCCCTCCTCCCTCCTCCTCCTCCTCCTCCTCCTCCTCCTCTTCCTCCTCCTCCTCCTCCTCCTCCTCCCTCGTCCTCCTCCTCCTCGTCCCTCCTCCTCCTCCTCCTCCTCCTCCTCCTGTGCTGCTGCTGCGGCTGCTGCTGCTGCGGCAGGGCAGGTCAGCAGGTCTTAAGAGAGGGGCTGGCTGGAGGAGGCTCTGAACGATCGAAATGGGCACGTAAAGCATGGAGACGAAGACCGACATCAGTTCCTGTCCATTTCGAGCAGGACTCGCTATCGGCGCCGCCGCGGACGTTACCGAATCGAGACAACCCAGCTGCGCGTTGTGCACGAGGGTACCAGATAAGGAGACTGGCACACGCACTTTTGCCGAAACCGACGCCTGCGGTCAACGGTTTTAGAATGACTGGAAGGCCAGGAGCGGGAATCTTCTGGAGCGCCGCCTCGGTGGAGATTCTGTTGCACTTCATGTAGTCGGGAACCGCGTGCATGGGGTCGCTCTTGGCCGCCCTGATCGTAAGGAAATGCTGCATGTACTTCTC